TTCATTTGCTCCCATCTTGCAGACAGTTTTAAATGTTAAGCTTGTTTTCCTACCAGATGGAGAATAGACGCCTCTATTTCAGGTAAGCGTTTTGTGATATCTCCCCGGTGTGAGAAGATGATACTGTGCTTGTTACACTTCAGGTCAGGAAGGCTGCTAAATGCAAATCAAACCAGACCTTTTGTGCCTCATAGGTTAGAGGGGTTTTGCTGGGATATTTGTGTGTTTGATATAAGTTGGGCGTCCTTCTCGCACAGTCAGTAGCTGTGGGCAGTGCAAAGGGATTTTGCTGGAGCAGTTCAGCCTGGAAAGCTACGATGCTGGCACGAACCTTGCCAGTACTGCCATGGCCACCTCGTACGCGTGGGACGGTACAGGTTCATCTCCCTGCCAGAGAAAGGCTCTTATGGAGTGTTTGCAGGGCTGAAGGCAAAGCTTCTCTGCTGCCCTGAGTGTGCCTAGTCCCACACGACCATTTTCACTCCAAGTTTCTCTTTCACGGGAGATGACAGACTGCAGTGGCTAAAAAATGGCCAGCCTGGGCTCAATAGCTGCCTGTTGGGCAAGGGATGTTTATGTCCTGACTCTTCCTGAGGATTATAACAAAGAAAACTAAAAAGGAGCCAAATGAAAAGGCATTAATACAAACGTGCAAAGATGTGCACTTTGGTCATCCCAGCAGTGACCAAAACATTCAGGGCAGAGGGATTCTCTCCGTTGAATGATGTGACCCTTGTGAACACTGTCCCCAGCACAGTCCTGCAAGTGGGTGCGCAGATCCCAGCAGCGATGTGAGAGGGATCCGTTCTGGTGGCAAGTGACTGTCTCCACTGATCAAGCTGTGGTCCAATAATTCATCTAATAAGAGTTTGCACACATAGGAGAGAGGGGAAACTAGGTGTTTCTATAGTTTTTCATTTTTCCCCCCTTGCTCCTCTTATAAAGGGTAAGTCTGCTGTACAAGTTTCCCGACAGCTGAATGCAAGCAGACTGCCTGTCTTATCTCCATTTGCCCCCTTCTGTGCAAACGCTTCAGTCACTTCCCTGCAAATTTAATGTTTTTTCAACTCCTGACACATTCCTCTTCCCCACTCTGCAATTATGAACAGATGTGCTGATGTTTTAAGTAAAACGTTTTGTTTTAAAATGTGCAACATCCAAATTTACCAAAAAAAAAAAAAGGAAAAAAAAGAGATGGCTCCCTCCCCAAATTCTCTCTGATGCTAATTATAGAAATCTCAGCTCTCCAGCAGAAGCGTCAGTCAACAGAGGTTTTGGCTCTTTTTAGAGGCTGAAGCTTTGGAAAAATATACCGAGGATGGTGCATACAACTGGGAGATGTGGCAGGTACATGCTGGAGGTGAATGCTGAGAGTTTGGAAACGCAAACAGATTTCGGGGTCTGCCAGTCGCCTTCCTCCCCCAGCACCTAGAATATTGCATTGTTGGTTGGTCTTCACTTTTAAATCACCTAACGGTATGCTGTCAAGACACATGTGTTGTTTTCATAGAGTTGGCACCAGAAGTTATTTTCTTTTTCCAGCTCAATTTAGAGAAGGGTAACAAATATTCTGGGTTTGCTCTGAAATCGTTACGGGAGGAGATCCTGGATTATACATCACGATTGCTCCTGCAATGAAAGTGCATCTATTCCCTCAGAGTTTCAGCCTGATGATGTTTCTGGCTGTTAGGATGAAACCCCAGACCCTGTCCCCATCACAAGAAAGGATTAGAATATGCTTGCAAATTCATTCCAGCACTGATTTTTATTAGGGAATCTTATTTACGTACGGCATTCTCTTCTTGCACAAGAAAGCTGGAGGTGGGTTTTTTTTCTTCTAATGCATTTTAGAGGCGATCTGACATTTTCTAATGGCTCTCAGGTAGGTATAATTCAGCCTGTTCCATGTCTGCGTTTTCCAAAATAACATTGGAAAATTATTTGGGTTCCTGCTTTTTTTGGACAATCATTACTCTCACTTTTTCCAGGTTGACCTATAAATGTCCATATGCTGCAGGATATCTGCAGTAGGTGTAGGTTCCTTTGGAGACAGTCTTGTGTGGGAGACAATATGACAGCTCATCTGCATAGCACAGCCATCATACCCCTGACTTGATGTAGCAAAGAGTCCTGGATCTGGAGGCTCCTCCCATATAGCCTGTATATTTAGGGGATTGCTCATATACACACACACACGCTGTGCACTCACGCTCTCTCGTGCAGTCATTTTTCCGTTATCTGTGGGCAGCTCAGCTGGTTTGGGAATAAATCACAGCGTGCAACAGGCGCGGCAGACCCCAGCTTGGGGGCATGGCCTCTGCTGTAGCCAGACATCCACGCTGTATCCTGACATCCTGCGTTGTTAAAAAATGTGTGTTAATGTACAGCCGGAAGTTTTTATGTGAAAAACTTTGCATTGACTGTGTGTAACAGCAGTGATGAAGGCTGTACTGATAAACTGGTGGAACTGATATCCCCAGGAGAGTGCTCAGTCTTCCAAATGCCATGACTTTCGATTAGGAGCTATAAATTGTCCCTAGAATTGTTGAACCTATGTAAGACTCTCGGGGGGAAAAAAAATCTTGAGAAGCTGGGGTGCAGGTTGTCGGCATGAAACTGGGATGAGGTGCAGGAAAAGGAGCTGTGTCACACCACGCCTCAGCATCCCTAACCCTGTTACAGTTGCATGCCAATGATTTTCACCGGGCAGCTAAGGAATTTGTGGGCATTTGGGTGGCTTTGTACCAACGTAAGGCCAAGTCAGGTGTTTATTTTAAAGACCTCCAGCAGACAAATATCCTTCCCATCTGACAGGCGTGTTTTGGAGAAGGATTGAGCAGGTAGGCTTGAACACATAACGGAGACAGGGCACTTTTATTCGTTTTGGGGCCCTTTATGCTCTGACAAGGTGTTTTCCATGGCTAAAGACCCTATAGAACAGTGTGCTCCTCCTGTGAGTGCAGTAGTGCCGTCTCCTGTTGTGTTTTTTGGTGTCTAGAGAGACCCCTGTGAGCAGAGGCTGCTGTCTGGCTTCCTCAGCCCCACGGAGGGATGTGGCCTGCGCTCACCGGATGTGCGAGGAGGGGGGACATCACGGCCATGAGGCGCTGTGACAGGCGACCGATCTCTGTCAGGCATAGTGGGGGAGTGGTAGGCAGGCTGGCATCGTTTGCTGTCAGGTTTTCTGGGCCTGTGTACAGGGTACCAATGGGGTGGTTGCCCTGGGTGTCAGTCAGACAGACTACAGCTGTGGAAAGGTGAGCTGGTCTACAGGTGTGTCAGCCACACTGAGGGGCTGTAGTGGGAGCTGGACTCTGGCTGTGACAGACCTACAGGGGGGTGATAAGGGCTGGTCTTCAAGTGACAGTCTCACTAGGGGTGGTTGTGTCAGCCTCATGGGAGTGTGATGCTTCAGGGGACAGGGGTGGTCTCAGCGTGTCAGTCACATTGGGGGTTGGTCCCTGGCTGCGTCAGTCGCACTGGTGTGTGTGACAGCGCAGCAGCCTCAGAGTCTCAGTCACACTGGGAGAGTGACGAGGCTGGTCCCTGCCTGTGTCAGCCGCGCTGGAGGTGTGACAGGGGTGGCTCCTGCCCGTGTCAGTCACACTGGGGGTGTGATGGGGGCGGTTCCTGCCTGTGCCAGTCACACTGGGGGTGTGATGGGGCGGTCCCTGCCTGTGTCAGTCACATTTGGGGTGTGTACAGGGGCGGTCCGCAGCTGTGTCAGTCACAGTGGGGGTGTGACGGCAGCTGGTCTCCAGATGTCAGTCACACTGGGGCTGTGATGGGGGCTGCTGTCTGACTGTATCAGTCAAACTGGGAGAATAACAGGGACTGGTGTCTGGGTGCCAGTCACACTGGGGGAGTGACAGGGGCTGGTCCGCCACTGTGTCATTCCCACTGGGGCAGTGAGGGGGGCCCGCCTCTGGCGGGGTCAGTCACATTGGAGGGGGGGGCTGCCCCGCCCCTGTGTCATCCCCACGGGGGCAGTGAGGGGGGCCAGCCTCTGGCGATGTCAGTCACATTGGAGGTGTGACAGGGGCGGCCTCTGGCGGCGTCAGTCACATGGGAGGCGTGGCAGGGGAGGTCCCTGGCGGTGTCAGTCACACTGGGGTTGTGACAAGGAGCATGTCATTCACACAAAGGGTTGTGCGAGCAGCTGGCCACCAGCTGTGTCAGTCACACTGGAGCTGTGACGAGGCTGGTCTCTGGGTGTCGGGCACACTGGAGGTGTGACACGGGCCAGCCTCCAGCTGTGAAGGTCCCGCCGGGGGTGTGACAGGGGCCGATCTCTGAGTGTCAGTCCCGTGAGGGTGTGGCGGGGGCTGATCTCTGGCGGTGTCGGTCGCTGGAGGTGTGACGAGGGCCGGTCTCCCGGTGTGTCGTTCACTGGAGGGTTTGAGGGGGGCGCAGCCCGACCGCAGTGGGTTGCGTC